CAAGATCCTCTTTTGTTTCCAGTTCAGAGAGTCCAGGTGGTTGAGTATCAGATTGTTCCATCTTGTTTCCCTTTGAGGTTGCTGTAGGTGATCTGGAACTCTGTTTTTGAGGCTTGTTTATATGTTTTCTCATTTCCATGGGGGGGGGGGTGCTTCTGGCACCCACGTGGCTCACCTTCACTGCCCTAGGAGCTTGGGATGGCAGTGGAGGAGCTTCCTTCCGGGTGCTGGGACTGGCTGAGCTTCTCTGCCCTAGGAGCCTGGGATGGCAGTGGAGGAGCTTCCTTCCGGGTGCTCAGACTGGCTCACCTCCTCTGCCCTAGGAGCTTGGGATGGCGGCAGGGGAGCTTCCTTCTGGGTGCTGGGACCGGCTTAGCTTCTCTGCCCTAGGAGGGTGGGATGGCGGCAGGGGAACTTCCTTCTGGGTGCTGAGGCGGGAGTTCTTTATGTGTCTTGTCCTTGTCCTCAAGACAGGTGATCTAGGATGTGTATTCCCAGTATTTGTCAAGGTACACACCTGGCTGGCTGTTAGAATGCAAGACACTTCCATGTGTTTGAAGCTGAGATTGTGCTGCCTGCTGTCTGTGGAAGCTTAATTTATAGGCAAAAAGTACCATCCCAGAGCTCTATTTACAAGCTTATTGTATCTTTAAGATCCTTCAAAAAATTTTTGGAATTTCCTGGAAAGAAAAAAGGCTTAATAGGGCCAGGCATTTAGCTCAGTGGCACCACACCTGCCTTGCAAGTGCAAAATCCTGAGTTCATTCCCCAATACCGGAAAAAACAAGGCTTGAGGACCTTGGGTTCTGAAGTTGTAACTTTCCTTAAAAGTAGAATTTTTAAATTGTGATCTTCCTCATCTCCTTTCTACCTATTTCTTCTACCTTACTGCATTAGGTAGAGGGATAGATGACAGCATTGTCATGTACTAGGAGCCATGGAATTGTACTCATTAGAAGGGTAAATTTTATGTTATATGAATTTCACCTCAGTAAAAAATAAAATTAAAACACATTTGGGGGGTATGAGCCCTACCTATGGGTGACCTGCGACAGTGTGATCTTTTGACAACAGACACTTGGGCCAGAGAAGGCAGGTCCTTCGCAAAACAGACCGTGGAATTCCCCAGGAAACCCAACTCCTGAGGGTCCTGGCTGGACATTCATCCCTCCTCCAGGAACTGTACTTCTGTCCCCAACCCTCCCAAAGGGACTGTGTATCACATGCTTGAACTGAGCAGGGTTTGCGGCAGTATAGGGAGCCTTCTATCTTATCTTGCACAGCCTCCCTTGGACTTTCTCAGTAGCTCCAGCCCTGGCAGGGCAGAGCTGGAATAGACTCACCCTAGAGCTTTGGAGGCCCAAAACTGAGGGCTCTGTGATTTTTGTGATGACCCTGGGACTCCCAGGTGAACATCCCGGAGCAAGAGAGGTCTGAGGACCAGGCATTCCTTAGGCACAAAAGCAATACATGTTCTGATGGCATCACCTCACAAGGCCAACTTGGCTAGGGCTATGGCCTGTATTCATTGTTGTCATGTTGCTCTTTCTGTCCTTTACAGCCATATAGGAAACCATATCTCAGCTCTGAGTCCCTGAGATACAAATGGGATGGATCCCTTATCTCTCTTCTCCCTCCTTCCTTCCCTTACCACCTCTGCTGGGAACAGGCCCCTAATGGGAACAATTGATTCACTTGACTGCTGGACAGATTGTCTCTGCCCTCAATGCACAGTGTCCCAGACATAGCAGGGTCCTCTCCTTCTACTGCTTCTGTCTACAGAACTGTGATAAGGGCCATTTCAGTGGTTGAGAGCTTGTCTAGAGTGTGCAAGGGCCTGGGCTCCATTCCCAGAACTGCAAAAGCAA